GCTGTTTGCTTGTAGAAGATTTAAATAAAAGTTTTAGCTGTTTGCTTGTAGAAGATTTAAATAAAAGTTTTAACATTGTATATGGCACGATTATTTCGGTCAACAAATTTTAAATGATGAATGGGAATAACGATTCAATATCCATAGTGCTTTTGGTAAATCAGGCAGTTTCAAATATAAAATTCTGAAAAAAATTCAAAAGGTGTGTAGGGACCCGCAGTTTACTAAAATCACTTAATCGGAAAACTGCTGCTATGGCTATTGCGGCTTTATTCCAGGCACCCATCGAATAGTTAAGATCTCAGGCCTAAAACCAACCTCTGCTTGCAGTAGTTGTGCCGACATGTCCGAAGAGGTTAGCGCTGGGGTCCCAGAAGGTTCGCTCGAAGCACAGTATCACCTTGTTCAGGTTGCCATAGCCAAGGCGTTTGATGGCTGCCACCTGTCAAATTAAAATGCATTTTCTCAAGTTTTTCTTTCATTATCAATGATGCAGTGCAACAATATTTTTTCAAATTATGTTTCTGATAACTCGCACCTATCAAATGCTATGTTGTACACTTACATATGAATCAGCAGCTAATAATAATGACTGAATCGCTCTAGATTTCAGTTCAAGAAAGGAAAAGGTTTTATCTCCTAATACACAAAATTTAGAGTAGGTAGTTAATGTGCCCACATCGGTAAATCAAACTGATAGATAGAATATACTTTTTTGCACACCACAAAAACAAGAACAGAAACGAAAGAAATACTCAAAAGATACGGCACAATTTAGACAGTATTATCGTTATAAAACGATCTCTTCCATAAAACGTAGTGGGCAGTAACTGTTAACTCTAAAAGAACTTACCTTCCAATCCGGCAGAGGCGGGTCGAACTTGATAAAGTTCTGTTGGTTCTGCCCGTTGTTCGCGACTGCAACTTTCAGCACGCCCAGTGGAAGCGTGCAGAGCACCACATCGCCTGTGTCAACAAAGTAAGATTAACTAGATGAGAGCTAAAAAAATAACCAGAGCTTCTAAATAAGAGGGAATATAATGGATTTCGTAATCGATTGTTAAATCTCTATGTGCAAAACAGTAGAAGCATACAACTTTTTAAATCGAAATCAGAAATGTAGATGCTTGGGCATTCCCTACGGGCAAAATATATTTTGTGAGCCGCTATTGTATTTATCATGATAATATAAGGCGAAATGAACTACCCTTCAAAGAAGGAATATTTCAATCCCAACAATCATGCGATTCAATCGTGCAATGTCATAATCATACTGTTCCTATATTGGTAAATGATACAAAATATATTTGCGAACCTACCTTTGAATTGAACACAAAATTAAGAAAAAGCTTGAGAGAGCAGAGTCCAATAGAATAGAATAGAAAATAAAACTGTCACCGACGATTATTTTGTTAGGCAGTATTTATTAATGCCTTTTTTCCGAGTTGAATTGCAGATCAATCCAGTAAAAAAGTAAAGCTGTATTTGAGTTGCATGTATCGTAAACTGATATAGTCAATGCTGAATTTAGATAGGTACTCCTGATATATCTTAAATCTGTTGGCAATTTTAAAGCTTCGTTTGCAAAATGGTATGATATGATACACAACCAAAGCTAGCGGACCCATTTCTGACTTGAGACTACAATAAACATTTTTAAAGATATTTACATCTAAATGGCCTTTGAGATCCTTAGAAAAGTATTTTAGATATTTTCTGTAGCAGACTTAGTGCCGCGGGCAGAATCTACTTCATAACATTATAAAACAACAACTTATTAATAAAAACGAAATCGCCGAGCCAAATTGTGTACCTAAATCACAAAAACAAGGTTTGTCGTTAATCTTTAAGTTTTAATTTTGAATGGAAACGATTTAAACCGTTAGAGAAACGTTATAATTAAGCTGCCGTTTCGCCCGACAATTACTTGGGCAAGCGATAATCGTTTCGTGGAAAATATCAAAGGCTGCTATGATTGCATTGTAATCTGTTCCGCGAGAAACTCCCTTGTGTAAAGGTTTGCCTTGGAAATATCGGCGCAATTTATTCGTCGTTGTTGCCACGCCTGTTTGATTCAGATAACATAATGTGCTCGTCAGTTTCTGCATTTACATAAACTATGAAGATTTAGATCAAATCGTAACCTAAAGATGAGAAATGTAACGCGAATTAGGTGCGTATTACAGGACGACGACGTTCAAAACTCGATTCAATTTAAAGTAGGTATTGTAAATTTTGATTGGCTGAATGCTGAATGTCACCTATCACAGGACAAAATCAATGAGATCGAATTGAGTTTTGAACGCAATACAGACCATAGACATCAAGAAATAGTGTATTTATAACAAGGCCTATTACACAATATAAATGCATAATCTTCACTAATGGTAAAGTTTACTCAAATGTCGCTCAGCTGCTAAACGCGCGCCAAAACGTATGAGTCAACTGAAAATCGATAAGTACTACCCGTACCTACCCAATAGCATTGTAAGAAAAGAATTGTAACTATGAGTTTTTTTTGTAATCGCAGTATTCAGGAAGATTCTGAAACCATTGTGTGTGATCTTTTTGAAACCAGATACCTACTGACGGGAGAAAATAAACACGCAAAACTCGTTACGGATGCGAATCCAGTTCGTGATAGACGCACCAGTAATGGCATATATCTCGAAGCTCGAAATCATTTCAAAGCTTCCAGTCACCGAGTTTCCAGCTCCACCGTAGCATCCACTAATCTGCCCACGTTATCATCGCTCGTATTCAGTGTCCAGCCAATTTCAGTCACATCGCAAAGCCGAATGGTAATTAAAATTCATGAACGCCATGAGTTCCCGAAATTGCCGCTCCGTGGCGCGTTAGATATCGCCTTCGGCGTGTATTCACTGTTGCAAAAATCCATAGCCACATAGAACAGCGAAATTAACATCGTATCACCCTTTATCTGAGAACGTGTGTACTTTTCGTAGCGCAAACGAGATAGTGTAGGGATTCCATGAGTTGAGGCCATAATAAAACCGCAGAATAACTAGGTTACATAACAAATATAAAATTAAGGAATTTTAAAACTTGAATCATAATAAGCTTAACTCTGAATTCAAGGGTTGCTTTTGATAATTCAATGTGAATTTGCAAACCAATTGATTGAATTGAAGTGCCTTTTTGATCTGCACGCAAAGTAGGTACTTGTTTGAATATTGCAATAGGATATTCTCGTTGGAAGACGTTGGTAGTTATTTAAGTAGTTGATTTCTATGAACCTACTATGTATGTAGACTAAATTGGCTTGCCTACACGAACAAGGCCTAACTTCTCAATTGAACTGATTTTCTAGCTAACTCAAGCAACAAAGCGCCTTACCACCACACATTCCGGAATCACACGGTCAGTAATTGGTAACACTACTCGGAGATAGTCAGACGGGCACCGCCTCTCAAACATCTAACTGCCTCTTGTACAATAGACCCCGCCTGTATGCAAATTCTCCGGAAGGCCCCGGGCAAGCCATCGGTGTGGGGACAACGGGTCAACATAGCCCGGACCGTATTTTTGCGCCTCGCTCTCATCAAAGTAAAATTAAAGCGTTAGAATTGCAAATCATCCCGCGACAAAGAAATGACAAGGAGCCGACGGCGTTGTGGATTTTTCTCATAACGCCCATTAAGGACTAAGGGCTTTGTTTTTTTTTTCTCAAACTGCTCTTCCTCAATATTACGGCCACATGAATTTGATTTTTCTATTTGGGATAAAATATGCGAGGCTTAATGCAACGCGGGTACGTGCCTTAGGGCAAATTCAATATTAGCTGCTTTTTATGAACTGGTTGGGATTTGGAAATTATGCTATGGAGATTATTATGTGTGAAAACTTAAAGATTTGGAAGACGAATTCCTGTCTTTTTTGTGGAGTTTTTAGTTCATTACCTTTGAATGTTTGCGGTTGGTTGAGTGCCCGTGGGTTGACAGCCTTGACAGTGACACCAGGTCCATAGTATTCGATTTCCGTGACAGCCGTTCCTAGTCTAATGTCCAGACCTTCTGACAGAGCGACCGGCACACACGAGTAGCCATTGCGAACTGAAACAAAAAAACATCGGTTAATTGATCTGTAAAAACAAAACGAGAAATCTACAAGACTGTAGGCTTAGACTCCACAGACTACAGACTTTTTGTCGGCAGATAGTTACTGGCTTTTATGATGCCTTCGGTCCACCTTGTGGGTGGACGTCCCACGACATCATCATAAAGGTAGCAGGAAGGCGCGCCGCTACCAGCCGGGCAACATGGAAAGTATTGGGGGAGGCCTATGTTCAGCAGTGGATATCCTATGGCTGAGATAAAGATGATGATGAATCAGTAGGAACGTGTATGACTGTGTGTATATTTCACCGATTTGGTATCGGTCGAATTCTCATACTTAGATTGGCTGCTATTGCCAAACTATCGGCCAATAAAAGTCTGTAGTCCGCAGGGGCTCTTAAATTAATTTAGCCTTGATTGTTACGTCAACCTCAAATTAAACCGAGATACTTATGTGAAACAACTAACGGGGAGAGGCAAAGTTAATTAATATTCATCAACGTTAATCTTTAAGATGATTGCTCAGAACACCACACTTTATTGGATCCTAAAATTCCAAAGTAAAATTGGAGTACTTGTGGAGAACCTAATTTATTTTAGTACCGTATTCCCAACAAGATATAATTAGAGTTACGGTTTCGGCTATTTAGGGCACAATAACTTTTCAAGCCGAAATAAGGGAAAGTTAGGATGCCTGACGGCTTAGCGTCGCTTGTAATAGGGCTCTAATAAAGCTAAACTAACTTTTACACGAGGCGAAATGTTGCCGCACTACTTGTTTATCGATAAATAATGCCGATGGGTTTTCTTCTTGGAATTTAAGAGAATGCTTACAGTAGAGCTAGAAGTATAAGTAACTTATGTCCGCGTTTGAAAGAAAGAAAGAAAAAGTATTTATTCGATGCAAGTACAATTCGTTTCGTACTCTAGTTCAATTGACGTTAGATCAATGTTCAATACCTCGATAATATTACCCTCATTATAATTATACCTCAATAGTTTTCTACATCAAATGGTCGTTATCTCAAAAGATCAATAGGTAGCTCAAAGAATTACTATCGTGACGGTTCGCCAAACATGCTGCAAACATAACTTCCTTAAAAATATTCTGTTCGATGTTTTAATTTGAAAAATCGACTTTCGGCAACCCTATCGTAAGTCAGAAATGGCGCAGTGACAGTGTCCTTTTCTCGACACGATATGATGTGTAGAAGCAAAAATTACTCACTTTTATATCAAAGTCACTCGTACGAAATTTTATTACAAGTATAACTTAGGTTGTAAAACTTTACTACTTATTCTTCGAAGAGGATTAGAAAATAACTAGGAAATTTTCAAGTTTATTGGATTAGTTCAATATTATTTTATTTCGCAGAACAGTCCTAGTAAAAGCATGTTTTCTTTTTGTTTCTATCTTCACAAGTTTTATACTTTATTACTCGAAAGAATATCACGATCTTAAGCTTCTTAGAATGACAAAGTAATAGACTAAGAGCTAGNTAAAAAGGCACATAAAGAAGAAAAAAATAAAAAATAAAAAACAGTAAAATAATCTAGCCAGACCAGTAAAAATCCTGAGCCAAAAAGGCGCCCGCTCAGCGATACTCGGGACATAAGTAAATGTCCCGACGCTGATTTTCAGCGAGTACCCTTGCCTAGGCCTCGGCTGTTGGGACCCAAACCGCGTCCGCCAAACATAAACTAATTATTTTATTAAAACTTTTATAGATTCAAGAGCGGATAGGGGATGCCCAACAGTCGATAATTAAACAATTTATGTAAATGCATAATCTTCACTAATAGTAAAGTTTACTCAAATGTCTATTATGAAAATAATTCTAGCCCGTATTCACAAACGATGTTAGCGTGAAGCAGCAAATCGAACGCACAAGGTTGAATAGCGCTCTGTGATTGGTTCGTGTGTCACTCTATGCGTCCACGCGCACTGTGAGACCTCATAGTAATGTTTGTGAATACGGGCGTGTTACTATGAGTATTTTTTTTAATCGCAGTATTCAGGAAGATTCTGAAACCATTTTGTGTGATATTTTTGAAACCAGATGCTGACGGGAGAAAATAAACACGCGAAACTCGTTACGGATGCGAATCCAGTTCGTGATAGACGCACCAGTAATGACTTATAACTCGAAGCTCAAAATCATTTCAAAGCTTCCAGTCACCACGCGTCTATTTCCAGTTTCGAGCTCCATCGTAGCATCCACTAATCTGCCCACGTTATCATCGCTCGTATTCAGTGTCCAGCCAATTTCAGTCACATCGCAAAGCCGAATGGTAATTAAAATTCATGAACGCCATGAGTTCCCGAAATTGCCGCTCCGTGGCGCGTTAGAGATCACCTTCGGCGTGTATTCACTATTGGCGATGTTGCAAAAATCCATAGCCACATAGAACAGCGAAATTAACATCGTATCACCCTTTATCTGAGAACGTGTGTACCTACTTTTCGTAGCGCAAACGAGATAGTGTAGGGATTCCATGAGTTGAGGCCATAATAAAACCGCAGAATAAGTAGGTTACATAACAAATATAAAATTAAGGAATTTTAAAACTTGAATCATGCCTAACTCTGAATCATGCCTAACTCTGAATTCAACAATTATTGCTTTTGATAATTTAATGAGAATTTGCAAACCAATTGATTGAATTGAAGTGCCTTTTGATCTGCACGCAAAGCACTTGCTTGAATATTGTAATAGGATATTCTCGTTGGAAGACGTTGGTAGTTATTTAAGTAGTTGATTTCTATGAACCTACGTAGACTAAATTGGCTTGGCTACACAGTTAAGACCTAACTTCTCAATTGAACTGATTTTCTAGCTAACTCAAGCAACAAAGCGGCAGGGCCTTACCACCACACATTCCGGAATCACACGGTCAGTAATTGGTAACACTACTCAGAGATAGTCAGACGGGCACCGCCTCTCAAACATCTAACTGCCTCTTGTACAATAGACCCCGCCTGTATGCAAATTCTCCGGAAGGCCCCGGGCAAGCCAGCGGTGTGGGGACAACGGGTCAACATAGCCCGGACCGTATTTTTGCGCCTCGCTCTCATCAAAGTAAAATTAAAGCGTTAGAATTGCAAATCATCCCGCGACAAAGAAATGACAAGGAGCCGACGGCGTTGTGGATTTTTCTCATAACGCCCATTAAGGAGGCTTTGTTTTTTTTTCTCAAACTGCTCTTCCTCAATATTACGGCCACATGAATTTGATTTTTCTATTTGGGATAAAATATGCGAGGCTTAATGCAACGCGGGTACGTGCCTTAGGGCAAATTCAATATTAGCTGCTTTTTATGAACTGGTTGGGATTTGGAAATTATGCTATGGAGATTATTATGTGTGAAAACTTAAAGATTACGAAGACGAATTCCTGTCTTTTTTGTGGAGTTTTTAGTTCATCACCTTTGAATGTTTGCGGTTGGTTGAGTGCCCGTGGGTTGACAGCCTTGACAGTGACACCAGGTCCATAGTATTCGATTTCCGTGACAGCCGTTCCTAGTCTAATGTCCAGACCTTCTGACAGAGCGACCGGCACACACGAGTAGCCATTGCGAACTGAAACAAAAAACATCGTTTAATTAATCTGTAAAAAAATATAACATATTGTGGGCCGATAGACGGGCTGTTAATCAGTGGGTACATGTATGACTTACAAGTGAGTGATAACTTATGGCTCGCAAACGTGGCCTCTCACTATAGGCCTTATACAGAACCTTAAAGTTGCACAGCGTGCTATGGACAGGGCTATGCTTGGTGTTTCTTTGCGAGATCGAATCAGAAATGAGGAAATCCGTAAACATACTAAAATCGCTGACATAGCCCGACGGATTAGCAAGCTGAAGTGACAATGGACAGGGCACATAGTACGCAGAACTGACAGCCGATGGGGCTGCAAGGTTCTGGAATGGAGGCCGCGTACCGGAAAACGCAGCGTGGGACGTCCACCTACAAGGTGGACCGATGACATCGTAAAGGTAGCAGGGAAGCGCTGGACGCAGGCCGCTACCAATCGGTCAACGTAGAAAGCATTGGGAGAGGCCTATGTTCAGCAGTGGACGTCCTATGGCTGAGATGATGATGATGATGATGATGATGATGATGAATCAGTGTATGACAGTGTACACATATTTCACTGATTTGGTATCGGTCGAATTCTCATACTTAGCTTGGCTGCTATTGCCAAACTATCGGCCAATAAAAAGTATGTAGTTTGCAGGGGCTCTTAATTTAATTTAGCCTTGATCGTAACGTCAACCGTCAACCTCAAATTAAACCGAGATACTTATGTGAAACAACTAACGGGAAGAGGCAAAGTTAATTAATATTCATCAACGTTAATCTTTAAGATGATTGCTCAGAACACCACACTTTATTGGATCCTAAAATTCCAAAGTAAAATTGGAGTACTTGTGGAGAACCTAATTTATTTTAGTACCGTATTCCCAACAAGATATAATTAGAGTTACGGTTTCGGCTATTTAGGGCACAATAACTTTTCAAGCCGAAATAAGGAAAAGTTAGGATGCCTGACGGCTTAGCGTCGCTTGTAATAGGGCTCTAATAAAACTAAACTAACTTTTACACGAGGCGAAATGTTGCCGCACTACTTGTTTATCGATAAATAATGCCGAATATGGGCTTTCTTCTTGGAATTTGAGAGAATGCTTACAGTAGAGCTAGAAGTATAAACTTACTAACTTATTTCTGCGTTTCGTACTCTAGTTAATCAATTGACGTTAGATCGATGTTCGATACCTCGATAATATTCCTTACATTATAATTATACCTCGATGGTTTTCTCCATCAAAGGGTCGTTATCTCAAAAGATCAATAAGTAGCTCAAATAATTACTATCGTGACGGTTCGCCAAACATGCTGCAAACATAACTTCCTTAAGAATATTCTGTTCGATGTTTTAATTTGAAAAATCAACTTTCGGCAACCCTATTGTAAGTCAGAAATGGCGCAG